AAAGAGGTTTGATACGAATGGCCTGGGTTTGCTCTTATGTTTAACACACATTCCTTTTTTATCTGCATATATTTATCATTGTGTTAAAATGAGAGAAATTATCATCACATCATTGCTCTTCCTTATTTTTAAGGAAATGGGCCAAGAATTCCCCATACACTTTCATGGCCCAGATTAAACATCAACAGGTGAAAGCAATACACACCTACCCACACAATGGCACTGGGCCAGAAGAATTTATGGATCTCCTGGTATACTAACACCCACCTAAACAGTTTAATAAACCCAGTGTTTCCTATCGTGGTGGTATCTGAATCAGATTTTATAACTTTGTCTATATATATATATATATATATATATATATATATATATATATATATATATATATATATATTTTTTTTTTTTTTTTTTTTTTTTTTTCCTCCTTGAACAAACAGTTCTATCAAAAGAAAAGACAGGAGAGGTGGCTGTTGAAAAGGATGTCTCATGTTACCTCTATTAAATGTGCAACATGCAAAAGGTTAAGGTTGTATAAGTGATAGACCAGAGATTAGTATATGGTAAACCAGTTCACATGGGGAAAAACTTTAAAGATACTGAAGATATGGAAGACTTGCACTACAAGAAATATGCAGATCCTTCTAATTCTGTCCAGGTTTCATTTCCATTCTCATCTATATTTATACATGATTTATCATTATGTATTGAAATTTTACATTAACCTTGCCAGTCAACAGGACCTGTGACATTAAAAATCTTGCAGGTCTCCTGGCACTTCAAGTCGTAATGACCAGTAGGACAGGCAGTTTCCCATGACTGAATAGGGTAACGTTACAGGCAGAAAAGAGAATGTGTAACAAATGAGTTTTGCAGTGAATCAGATAGTTGACAGCCATCAAACTAATCAAAACCACAAAAGCATTTGGCTTTGATATATTATTCATTGTGAGCATAGTCCTGATAATCAGTTTTTCAAAACTAAACTGCTAAGAAAAAATGTAAGCTGGTCAGTGTCCTGATATGGCAATGTTTGTCCCTCGTGTCAAATAGAGAGATTACACATATTACTATGATATAACACAACATACCTACAATATGCAATGTAAAAACTTTAAACTCAGACCAAGCCAAACATTTAACTAATACTTTGAGAGATCTATTAAACTGACTATCTGACTGCTGAGTATCATATTTCTGACCACCATAAGGTCAATATGTCAGCAAGCTGATTATACCAGGAAACTAGAAAGGTGAGGCAACTGTCATTCAACCATTTTACATATTTCACACCGATTTAAATAGAAATATTCCACACCATATGCCTCACTGAGTTGTTAAATAAGGTTTCAAAACGAAATAATGCTATATTTTCATCAATTAGATACGACCTTTCATTCAAGTCAAATTCTGACAGACGAAAACATTTGCTGTATCACACAGACGTAAGTCTATTAGCTATAAATTCAGACCTATCCTGCATTCTCAGTTTCAGTACTTTTTTGAAATACAAATGTCAGGATTAATCAAAAGCGGTTTAACTAAGTAAATAAAGTAGGGTATAGAGCTATGAGCTGTTTGTTGACACCGGGGTACAGTCATGGCGGACGCCCTACTTTTTGCACTACGTATAATACTCACTTCTGATGACCCTCTCCGTCGTCGACAGCTTACCATCTGCAGTAGACATGGTAAAGCTGTTTGAATGGAATTTCCACTATTTTTTTCAGATGATGGTCAACAGGCAGCTTGATTTTGGAGGATAGCAACTAAACCTTCCACAGTAGTTCCCAAGATGGCGTAAACAAAAATTCATTTGCATAGATTTTCCACTGCGCAGAAGCGAAGCGCATCCAAGAACTTACTAAAACGTAGATTTCACTCCTTCCGAAACGCGGAAAGAATTTTTTCAAAGAAGAAAGCGGCAGAAGTAAGATAATCGCAAATAATTTAGTAAACACAAAAATAACTCAAGTAGGAGCGCTGTACCAAGTCAGCCAACGGCTGAGTCATTAGCCTGAACAATGCCGGACATCTTGGGGGATTTAAGAGTAAAGATGGACTTTTTAAACACTTTTGCGTACTCTTTTAAGCAGAACACAGCAAAAGATGTCGAAATACAACTGAAATGGAAAAATGGGAGATTTCATTGCGTTTTTGTACTAAATTCTGATTCTAAAAAGATTCTAAATTACTGATGATTTGACAGCAATAACTTATTATGGTTAAAAATAATAATAAAAAAAAGGCGAAAAAGACGTAGGCCCCCTACATGTAGGCCTACGTGGCACATATTCTACTTTATTGTTGGACAAACAATATTATATAACAAGTGTTACCCTTGATAATACCGATATACAACAAGTAAAAGAAAAACGAAAATAATGTACAATTTTTATACTCATAAGGGTAGCAAAAAAAGATGATTGGGTAAAAGAATAAGATGATCTGATTACGTAAGACTTGACTGGTTAAAACCTAATCACTGAAATGCTAAGTCCACCGCTCTAGTACATCCTATAGTACCTACATCTTCTGCGACTGTTGTCTCAGTGTATTTCAAATATTGCAAAATTAATACGACGTATATTTAACATAAACGCCATGAGATGCACGAAAAGAAATAAAAGGAATAAGCACATGCAACAACCATGCACCCTTTTCTACCTCGCTCCCTCCCCTTCTCTCTAAAGTCCTTACGAAATAACACCAGTATCACCACAGAATGTCTCTGTATATATGGGACATTGGCCTTTCAGCGACCTGTTCCCGTGTCGCACCAGTTTTCAGTGTCGCGCCAGTTTGCACCAGTTCGGGAAATTGACAGGTTTTTAAATAGACTGATTATTACGCAAGAGAGGTGCACGCCACTCCCCGTCCCTATTTTCTTGTGATGACTGGTAGGCCTACTGGGGTAAGGCGCACTCTGGTTTGTGAGGATGATAATACCAGAAAGTTGACGCAGCGATCTTATTTCGCCAAATCGATGATTTATTTTAATGTGTATATTTGTTTCTGTCTTGCTTCTGGGTTTTCCATTTTTAACGTAATTTCGAAAGAGGCTGCGCCTTTACAAGGTTCACAGACCGTATTTATAGGTCCAAGCATTAAGGGACTCATTCCCGATTTTTGTTTAACCCCGAGCTGTGCAACATGGCGGCCCCCATAGAAGGCCGAGCGCGAAGTTCAAAAAGTATGTCTTTTCCTTTGTATACGGTAGATGCTTTTACCAACAAACCGTTTGCGGGTAACCCTGCAGCAGTGTGCCTGGTAAAACATGATCAGGTAAGATTTTGAGCATTGCAAACTCGTTTTACGTGGACAACATCTGGACCGGATAATTGAATGACAAGTGCGTATAAACCACTTCTACTAGTTTCTTAAATTCGACATGCGAAGGGATAAACTGAATAGATCACTTGATCAGCCGTAAAAGAGCTTTAGACTGCTCCATGGGGCATGGGGCATAACTTCATCCCTGAACAAGACAGAGTATTTGGGCTACAATCTTGTGCCATCATTTTGGTTAAAATATTTTTGTTTTGGAGATTTTCATTAATGAAAGGCAGTATTTTGCTTTATCAATGATGTAATCTGAACTAAGAATTTTAAGAAAAATTGCTGGCAGCATTTTGGAGCACACTAAATGGTGCCTTTTAGTTAAAATTGGCGTTAAAATGGTGATTGTGGGTGCTCAGTTAAAGGAAAAATTAAAGGAAAAAGTTTTTATCCTGAAATTGCAATTACCACCTGTAAGATGACGTGTGTAAATGTTAATTAAATATAGTCACTGAACATGGAAGATTTATCTATTACCCCAAAGACTGTATATAATGCAGTAAATAAAGAGTTTTGAGTAAAGGGTGAAAATTTCCTCAACAGTGTTAATTCTTACAGTCTGGCTGACATCGCACATCCTAGTAATTGGCAAGTCCACCAGAAATGGGGTAAAACAACTAAAAATACATGGCGGATTGCATATACTTCTACGTTAAAGTTGTCATAATTTATTCGATGATATCACACTTCTCAGTGCTTGACCGCTTGTGTCAGGGAGGATGAGCTATTTATCTGGTTGATTTCCCTTGTCGGCCTTTGTAATTAACTGCTGCACACCTTGTTAAGAGATAAAATCTATCTAACTGCCAATCGTTATCTGTGATCAGGAATCTTACAGCAGTAGATTGCAAAGACTCATTTGCTTACCTGGATGAGCATAATATTCACATCTCCTCAAAGAGAAAGTCCTCAGGAAGCAACTGATTTTATCAAAGAAGGTGTCAATTGTACTTAAACTGTTGACGTTGCATTGCTGGCAAAGTGAGGGGAAAACTTAAGCTGGATTATACTGTTACTGTTTTTCTCTGAGTCGCTCATACACCAGTGATANCACGCTAAATAGCTGTCAGCCGAGCGGACACGAAAGTTAATTACCCCCTTACAGCTTGTAGTAGGCGGGACGGACATTTAAGCCGGATTATCTTACAGTAATCTAGTGAGACTCCCTGCGGGGATAGATCTATCTAAAAGCTCTGGAAATACAGCCTAAATCAATTAGCTAACGAGTAAAATCGGGGGAAAAAGGTTGACATAAATTAGGAGACCTTTGCTTGTCAAATAACATAACTTTATTACTGTTTGTTATTCAATTAAAAAAATGTGTTTTGAAACTTAAAGGTACTGTCTTCCAGGCTATTTCAACAACTTTCGTACCAGAAAATTGCACATTAAAATTGTATTTAATATCAAGCGTAGCTGCTAATATAAATACTGGAAATACCAATGTCTTCTCTTTGAAAAGGTTGGCAAGCTAGTTTTTATGCTGTCCTCCCAGGCTTGCATTAATACATGTGTACAGGCCAAAAGTAGCCATGGGACTGAAGCCAAAGCCTTGATAACATGCTCCCACCCCATTCCCTCTGGCTTTACCAGCACCAGGTGATTTAATCACAATTTGTGTTAATCTTATAATAATGACAATTATTCTACTAGTAATTACTTCTCAGTGGTGCACATTTTTCAAGCTTCCAAATGTTCTGCATTTGAAAAAATGCCATTTTATTTCAGTAATGACACATACTATTAGGGTTGACACTTGGGTATGCAGTTTAGGTCCCTTTTACTGCCGTAACCAGTAACATGGCTGCATTTATGAGGACCCTGTTGGAAGATTTTCAGTCAGGTCACTATATGATAGTCACAGCTAATGCAAGTTTAGAATTAGTATATGTATGTTATGAATAATTTAGGAAGTGACATTATTTTCTTCAAAGTTAATGGTTTCTTTGAATGCGATATTGTTTTACCAGCAGTAGCAATAATGTTCTGCATTTGAAAAAAATGGCATTTTATTTTACCACCACATGTACTATTAGGGTTGCCACTTGCGTATGCAGTTAAGGCTGATCTTATCCCGTAACCAATAACACAGTAGCTAATTACAAAGGCCTTGACTGATTTTGAAGAATGTATATCTACTATCTAAATGATATAAATAAAAATAACAGTAAAATTTTGTTTAGCGAGGAATGTTTCTCTCAATTCAGGCTCTCTAATACTTTGCTTTCTTCAAAGCTCTCCCAGCGTGCCTGTTTACCCAATTAATAGATCTCCCAAAGACCAATTAGTCTTCATTTCTGACTGAATGTCTATTTTCCTTTTTTGTTTGTCACAAACTGATAAAGATGGGTCTATTGTAAAGCTTTGCTTTATTCATTGTAGATTTTGCCATTTATGTACATGTATGTATTTTTTAATCAAAGCATTAGATACATAAATTATATTTATTTTAAATAGTCTTAAGTGTAACTAATAGAATTATGAAATCATTATGAAATCTTGACAAATCGTTGAGCAGAGCTACTTTGTTTAAATGTTTATTATAGTTCTTTTTTTAAACCATACAGGTTCTTGATGATGAAACCATGCAGAAGCTAGCAACTGAAATGAACTTATCTGAAACAGCATTTGTAAGGACCCTGTCTGCAACAGAAGATTTTCAGTCAGGTCACTATATGATAGTCACAGATAATCCAAGTTTAGAATTAGTATATATGTATGTTATGAATTATGCAGTGACACATTTTTTCCTTAAAAGTTAATGGTTGCTTTGCAATGAGATGTTTTTTTACCGTCAGTAATGGTATACATATTTATTTTCACGTGTAACACAGTCAAGCAGGTCTACAGGTTGTAGATGTAATCTTTAAACATTTTGAATTAAAACTCAGAGATAGTTTCTGCCACTTGTTTTGCTTGGTCCGAACCTTAAGCTTATTATTTTGGAGGCATTTCTACTATTACTCATCTAGACAATTTTTTAAGATAAATCAGTTGTTTCTTTGCATTTAACTAGGTAGCAGATATGGTCTTCGCTGGATGACACCTACCATTGAAGTGGCCTTGTGTGGGCATGCTACACTTGCCTCTGCAGCAGTGTTGTTTTTCTGTTTAAGTAAGTGACTTGTTCATCAGTTTATTGCATAACATAATTCTGCGCAATATCTATTATCCTCAGTTTCAGACCTAACACATGTCATCTTTTTAATTTTCAAAATTTTCACTTGCTACTTTTGCAATAGTCAAGGTCTTATAAGTGTGAATGTATGTAGATTGGTTTTTAAAAAAAAACTATCACATATGACTCTTAATGTAGAATGTGTTGTCCACTTTTACAACTTTTTCCATTATTTATTTTTTTATTTATTTATTTATTTATTTTTAGTTGCATTGTGTAATCTGACATCAGATATTTCTAGCATATTTAGAAAAAAAGAGAAGAAAAAAAAAAAGAAATGCTGTTGGAGCACAAAATTGATTTCTTATGTATTTGTTTACTTTCAATGCATCATCAGCCTATACTGGGTTCTACAATCCTTATCTATTATATAGCAATCTAGTTATAAATGATAATTAACCCCAAAAAGATCCAGTGCATTAACCAAGAGAAATCCAATCATATTATATTGAATTTCTATAGAATATCGTCTTGGAGTCCTATACGAATATTTATGGGCTCCCTACAGTAGTTGTACAGGTAATTCGCCCAAGTTCCAGTAGGACTCCTGATTGAATCCCTTCATATTTCTGATAGGACAGTCGGATTTCTTAAGGAAATTTCTGTGGAGGTCTTTTTTTTTTCTTTTTTTGAAAATTTATTAGTAAAACTTTTCAGCAGCTGAAGTTGTCAGCATAGGAACTGAAAGCCACTGGTTAAATTTGAAGACTAGTATCAACATTTAAATGTTAAGTCTAGTGTGTAATTTTCTCTCAAGATAACCCTTCCTGAGTTGACCTGTTTGACCTTGAGTATTATTTTCTTCAGATAATCCTTCTCCTGAGTTGACCTTTGTGACCTTGAGTGGTGAGTTGAAGGCCAGAAGATGTGATCCATTTGTCAGCCTTGACCTTCCTCTCAACAGTTGTGAACCCGAGGTATACGAAAACTGGAACTGTCTCTCCATTAAAATTGTATGGAATAAGAAAAAGAAGTCAAAATAATTAATTTGTTGATACATGCATGGTCTGCTTACACTCTTGCAAGTTAATAGGGCTTATCTTTTGACGTGACTCTTCAGAGCCACATACAGCCACATAACCAAATGTAATTTGACCAACAAGCCACTTAATGTTAACATATGAAAGAAAGCAAGGTTTAAATAGAGATGGTTTTATAGAAATCCTGGTGAAAAGGTATGATTAAACATGTGACCTTTGATCTTTTTCTACACCTACCTTGCACTCCTGACTGGATTTCTGTCTTTTCATATATATGAGAAGCTTGGTGACTTAATTACACTGGGCTAAGTGAACCTATGTGCCCTTGAACATCCATGTAGAAAGATAAAACCCATGTTTAACTGCATCACTTGTGTGAGTAATGATGCGAGTTAGATTTGTCCTTTTTACTGACTTATTTCCTTCTTTTTTGTGTACACTTACACAGTACAAAGCAGGTAGACCTAATGACACAGAACACATGGCTTAAAAGTAGTAGAAATACTTTTTTGTCACAAACTAATTACAAAATTTAATCATTTTCATGAAATGGACCAACTGCCATGTTCATTATAGAGTACTTCTACTACTATCATCCACCAAACTGATAAAATTTTTTAAACATCTGTATGGCTTTATAAAGTCCAAGAGTAACCTTTGGAAAAGAAAACTATATTTGTATTTGTTTAAATTCATCAGGTTGAAGGGATGGATTAATCATTTCTCTTATTTTCAGACTGTGAATGATGCAGAGGAATTGATCAAGGTATGTCATTTGTTTAACTTTAGTTCTTTATCTTCTGAATCTTCTGAATTGAAATGGGAAAGGAGAATTTAAATTTAATGCATAAAGTTGTTTGTGAAGTGTGACTGAAAGGACTGCACTCGTGTGGCTTTGAAATTCAGGTTCAAATGTGACATTCAGGCATTTGTGGGCTACAAATCTGTAAATAAGTTACACATATTTATAAGGCAAGTATACAGGTATAGTTCTTCATAATCTCAGGGTTGCCTATAGGATAGAAGATAGTCATCAAATGCATAGACTAGAAGTTTTTATACTATCAACTAAGTAACATTACCTGAAAATCAAAAAAAGTAATGTATAGATTTTGCCACCTTGTCACAGCTTGTTAAGTTGCCTACCAGATGCCCAAATGATCTGTAAATATGATGGCGCTGGATATGACAATGTGGTAGTTGTGACAGTGACAGAAAATAACTTTGATGTTGCAGTTAACAGTGAATTCTCTACCAGTCAAGGAAGTGCAGTATTCAAGTACTACAAAGAAACTTTTGGTGTGCCTTGAAAACAGCGTCAGCAGGTAATTGTGTTACTGTCACACCTATCATGTGGCCACATCTAACGCACTTGCATATAGCTCACTTGAGTATCACCATCTGTCATAAAACAGGCTACAGTGGCCGACCTTTAGAACATCTGAAGCAGTGGTATACTCCTCTGTTCACATTAGCATATTTTACAGCCAAGTGAATTTTAAGTCTGACAATGAAATTGGCCTAGTGCTTATGTGAACCCAACACCCTTTGACATTAACAACTAAAGGGTTGCCCTATTAACTAACACGGCAGATCTGAACCCCAAATCACAAAAGGTTTCTAGATTTTCTAATCCCCCTATGTTGTTTTCAGTTAACAATAGGTGGTTTTGCTGTGAAAGAACTTCAGCACTGTGCTCATACTAAGGATTTGTTGATACTCTTAGAAGAAAATGTAACAAGGTATTCTTCTGCTGGGAACACATATGTATCTGTCAGCAGAATTTAACACAGTGTCTCAGCTAACACATCGAGGTATCATTTCATCAGTTACAGATATATTTTCCCCACATTTCTATACTGAAAAAAGCAGTACTAAATGATTGCAACCACCACAGTTTTTCCTTAAATTTGCCAAAATGTGGAATTACATGCAGTAACATAGAAATATGTTGCAGTTTGCAAGATCCACAACTTCATAGGCTAGACATTTTGTCTTTTCAGACTACAGCTAGAGAGCATGCAGCCACATGTAGATCAAATGATTGCCACCCACAATACAGGACGTATAAAAGGAGTGATTGTAACACTAGGAGGTTCTGAAGGCAATGGTTGTGTGGACTCGAATGGAAAAGTGTATGATTTTGTGTCTCGCTATTTTGCACCCTGGAATGGGATAAAGGAAGACCCTGTCACAGGTAATCTCCAGATAACAAAACACAAATCAATCAGCCTAAATAAAACTTTAACAATGCACCTTCTTCAAATTTCTGGCCATAAACTTGACCAACTTATCCCTACCTCCAGTTCATAAGTCTGTCAAATGAAAAAGTAATGTATGATGCCTAACTGCTGCACGCACAATAGCATATTCAAACGACTGAGGATTATATACAGACAGCACAGAAAGAAAGCAGAAAATATCTGTTCAAATGTCATTTTTTCAGGAAATGTGAAACGATACCGTTTGGTATATCTTTAAGCAGGGCTTTTTGAAACTATGTGGGGGCATTTGGTCGGGTTTTGTAGTAAAGGTTTGACATGTCAACTCACTTCAAATGCACCTTTAAAGCACATGTACATTAAAATGCTGTTAATTTTGTAAATGCAGCTAATGAAATGCTTCATGTTTTTAATATCATGAGAGGTGAAGTAATGTCATCAGGTGTTATTCACATGTTATTTATTCATCTTTGATCTTCCTAGGGTCAGCACACACAGTCCTGTCCAGCTACTGGTCAAAGAAGTTGGGGAAGAAAGCACTTTACGGTTTGTACACCAGCTTATTTGTGCAAAAGAGAGTCAGATACTTTGCAGGCCCATTTATGTAATATACTACCCAGTATATAGCATAACTATATACTAGCAATTACATTAGTAACTCTGAGCCTTACTTACCATCATATTACTAACGCTTTGCTCATCTCACAAACTGGACCATGCGAAACAATTTTATGATATCTAATGGTTACTTAATAGAATTTCCCTCCTCCATAATTTCTTTTCCACTCTGTCATTTTTCAATCTCTTCCTTGCCATTAAGTATATCTGAAACTGCCGTAATTTTTAATTGCAGCACGCCAGTGTTCACCAAGAGGAGGTGACCTCAAAATTCAAGTAAGAGATGACGGAAGAGTTGACATTGCAGGAGAAGCTGCCATAGTCATGAGTGGGAATATCTTTATCTAGTCAACATTTGTGGACCATCAGCATTATTAGACATGTTGTTCATGAATCACAAATAATAAAAACTGAAAACAAAGCTATGAAAAAAAAAAGAAAATTGACAGTCAAAGAACCATTCTTACCTAAAAATATATGCTGTTCATAGAATTGAAAAGAAAACCCCATAAAAAGAAGAGATGTACTAGTTAGTTACTACATAACTGACAAACCTGCATAGGAAAAGATTAGATTATACAAATGAGGAATACTTGTATAGCTTTAAACTAGACAAAAATGAAAATTGGTGTAAGTTTGAGTAGAAAACTTTTTATCCCAAATGTTCTTATGATTCAGTTATATATATATATATAGAGAGAGAGAGAGAGAGAGAGAGAGAGAGCATATTATTAATTCCTTTCTGAAACAATTATGGTGCTAGATAAGGGATAGTAATTTGAATAAAAACAAAATCTGCGGTGCAGTAGTTTTAAAGCTGCAGTAACAGTCTTCTAATTTCATTCAAACACAGCATTTGATAAGTACAGGTATTTCAAAACTGTTAATGTTTCATATACAACTTCAGCCTAGTGGGTGGCAATTTTATTATTAAAAATTGTAGTTGCCAAATTATTCTATTTGTCTATGCTGCAATCAATCTACTGTGTTACTGTAATGTACAATGCTAAGGATTTCATTGTAAAAGATGGTGATGTTTATACTGAGAGTATATAATAATGAAAAAGAATTTTACTGTTTTAAATTCAATATTTTGTTTTTAATGAAATTCTATATTTGTTCAGGAGTGTAATAAGAAGAGATTTTTAAACAGTACATAATAAATCTGTTGCTTAAAAGAATGGTTTATTAATTTTAATTCTAATGTTTACATCCCTTTGTTTAAGGTGTATAGATGCTAAATGCAATGTCGAAATGATCATAGGCCTATGGCTATTTACATAGGGAAATGCTGTGAATAATTTTCTAGAAATACAGATTTTATGCTGCATGTAACAAATAAATGCAGACCATTGATAAACTAAAAAACCACCTAGAGAGCACAGACCTCCACCAAAGCGGCTTAATTCTCAATTAATTGATCAATGGATCACCATCAAAATCTACTTGATTCTAAGTCGGCCCATTACTGACCTATCCTGAAAGTTGTATCAAATATTCGTTCATAACTTTTTGAGTAAGGGTGTTAAGTAACAAACCAAGTCAAAAATATAACCTCCATGGTGGAGGCTATTAAAAAGGGGTGACTTGGACCTAAGGGACAACAATACTTTCAATAAATATATTCTTGGCTAGCGTGTAAAAAAAAACAAAAAAACAACATCAAACTGGCAGCAGGTCCGTTAGTTCACAATCAAGCCGCCAGACGGCAGCACATTGAAGTGCAGCGTCCACACCTGTGCCTAATGCGTTGCTTAATGGTCCACGATGAATTGTGCGGCTAAACATGACTAAGATTAAAGTTCCATTAATTGACAGAGCCCTCCCTAAACACCTGGCTTCTGAATAGATCCTGCTAGGAACACCTGGGCGCACGCTGTCGTTGTGTTATTACATTGCTATTTGCATTTCAATTCCTATTAAAGGATCCAAGGAAGCCTTATATGTTGCCTATATAACTGATATAATACGGCAGGTGCGAGGAATCGCCACTATGGCCATGTCGCGAGGGACAAAAGGGGGCCTTATGTTTGTTGACTTGAGGAAATGGATATATAAATCATGATCAACTCAATATAATTATGTCACATCAAAAGTTACAGCATTATCTTGCTCCCCAGCACAGCGCATTTTCAGAACTGGCAGAGAAATGCCAGCAGCAAGAGAGTGCGCTTCTTTATTACGAAAGTTTGCTATGTGTGCGAGAGACAGTTCGACAGAAAAGAGAGACCTGTAATTGACAAACAAACAAAATTCTCGATACTCTTTTTTTCATATCCGTATTTGCAACAAAAATATGTTAACTAATAAAACTTTGTACATGCCATAGTTTGGCACAACCTAGCTTAGAGCGTTACCTTCACATAATTTGTGTACCGTTAGTTGCATTTGCTAACAACGTGTTGTGCATGGTGAGAAAGATAGGTAGAGTGCATATATACCTACTATTGTTAGCTTTTTATTTTCATTCACATGATGTATATTCAACTTGAGCACCATGCTTATACTTAATAATTAAAATTTAGTAGACAGGGAAACAAAAATTTGTGTTTATGGAAACATAGGGGCGCTGGATATTTTACGGCCATATTGATAGGAATATCGATGCCGAAAAGCTTGCGTATTAATCTTGGAGTTAATTTTTGTTTTCATTGGCTCTCTCTGAGGCCTAAAGTTCCTCTAAGATGGAAAATTATTCTGTATTAACCCACTGTTCATACTTATAGCAAATAACTGAGGGATTCTATACTCGACAAATTAGGTTGAACCCCCCTCACTCTGAAGCCGACGTTTTTACCTTCTGCTCGCGAAATCGTTTTTCTTCCACGTTACACTTGTGTGCTTCTGGAAGTGTTCTGGGCTGTGGTGTTTTCCCCAAGCCTGATTCCAGGGATGAAGTCAGTGCAGTTTGCAAGAAAAAAAGGCTCTGAAGCCGTGCATAGAGCACAAACGAGCCGTCAAATTTTGTTTCCCATAAATCCAGAATACTTGGGTGTCATAACCATGATATTGTGCCTAGTTACACGTGTTTGTCGTGGAATTATGTCTTAAATATTTCTATTAACGTTTTAACATTTTTTAATAACCCCTTTACCTTTTTTTTTTTTGCTGTTAATCGTGTCCTATAGATATGGTACACCCCTTTTCGGTTGTGAAAGTTATGGATAATATTTTAATATTAGTTAAAAGTATGGTTAACAAGTATTATTTATCGCATGAAATGTTCCAAACAACAGCAAAAATTAGAACAGAGTAAATATCGTGACCTAGTGCATCAGTGATAATTTATTATGGCATGATAAAAAGTGAAGATCAATAAACCTGAAGCTCGTACACAGTAGGAGCATATGATGATGTGGCTGGCCGGGTTCAAACTGGAAGCACCCTGTATATCAATGGACGCAGAACATGTCAATTATATATCTATTTGGCATATCTAAATCAAGTCGGCTAAAGTCAAGGTTCACTTATTTCAAGCTGCTATCAACCCCAGTGTATACTGTACATACAACACAAATCTTTGTTCTACATTATCTTTGGCATTTTACTATTGCAGCTGAATGTGAGACAGGGGCCCGCTCAGGCTGATGTGCACGGGGAGAGAAGATGCGAACGAATTTCTTGTGAACTGAAGGACTTATAGCCTACTCAGTACAAGGTCTGTTCTGTTCCAAACGTTTCTCTTGCAAGTAAGTCTACTGCGTCGTCGTTGTCCATCTCTGGTCAACTTCTGGTTCACTCTTCTGTTCTCCCTGTCAGTACTTTTTTATTCCCGCCATATCACTTTTGTGTGAACCAAAAGAGCAGACGACACTTCGCAAAAGGTACATAGGTTGCAGCAGGTGTCAGACCCACCTGCTCTGTGGGAAAAGCTGCCGTGACAACGTAAAAGGAACGCATGATATTAGTGTTAATTAAAAGCAAACCGCGGTTACTCCTCTTTCAGGGTTTTAATTTGTGGATGGATATATACCGAATAGATAAGTAGGTTTGTTCAGATTTTCTTCCGTTCGGGTTCTGTTAAGTGAATTAAATTCTGGAAAAGTTGTTACGTTTCTCAGACGACACCTGATGCGCGCCCCGTCAGCACTAGAACAGGTGTTCAACTGTTTTCTTATGAGCATTTCCCTGAGAGCGACAACAAAACTTGTTTTTTTCTAAGCCCTCTCACACATTTTTGTCGTTCGTTGAGTGCACCGGCGTCCTTGATGTCCCTGCGTCTCGTAGCAGTGGCGCCAGCACCGCTGTTAACCGGAGCTAATTGGAAATCAGATCCTACGTCAGGCAGTGGAGCGTGTTGGACCAGATGGCCCCGGCAGCTGCTACCCGCTTCATACACGACTCGCGTTACACCGGGGATGACCCCAGCCGGGTGGCGCGAATAACTTATCTTCACTTTAGGCGCCAGTCTTACGCAGACGCATCAATTTCCAACAAAACAAATCCACATTTCCGTTTGTTCTGTAAGCCACCTGTCCGCTTTGGCCTGACCTTTGCGGTGTAACCCCGCATAGTGCCTATCACGGGGAAGGAGGCGCGATAAGAATATGGGTAAGAAATGTGTGAAATTACCAACGCCTTGAAGATCCTTGAACATAAAGCCGATATCAACCAACAGTTCAACATATTTTTAATTCGTGAAGCGTCCTTTTTTCAAGAAAAAAAGTAGTGCTGTAAAATAATGGTTTCCAATTTTTGTTCTTATTAACATCAGCATCAATGTCGTCGTCTCGCTCTCCCCTCTGCATTGATAGTTTTCGTACACAGTTCTACACATTCCTGAAAGTTCAATCCTTTTTGGTCTTCGCTATAATCCATATCGGCCAAGCGGGCCAGAGACAAGATATAACTACAAGCTATTCGCAATATTGCTAGTTTTGAAAGTTTTTGGTTATTGGAATACGACGGCACAGCTCTGCGTAGTCTCTCAAATGCTGCGCTTATCGTGTGTACGCGCGTGCGTTCGCGGGCATTGGCCTCCACGCGCCTCTCTCGCGTCATATTTTTGTAATTTTTCCGTCGTCTTGAGCCGTGTTTTAACCCCAAGTCGTCGTCATAATCTTCAGCCTCGTCATCTTCGCCGGCGTCTGCTGCAGGATACGTAGTCCTTGCCGTCTCCACCGCAGCTGAATTGGAAGCGCTAGACGTCGACTGCGACCGTCCCGTAGCACGCGACGACTCGCCCTCAGCACTTTTATCGTTTGGAGGTGCTATGCTCCTTTGGAATAGATTCATTGTGGAAAGAAGTGCAGGGTGGGGGTATCCGTACATGCCAGCATACTGCGGCGGAAGATAAAACTGGAACGGCCATCCCCCGGGATACGGAGGTACCCGACCCAGAGAATCTGGACTTAACGATCCGGGGTGACTTGGGGGCGTAGGGCCTGAGTGTGCTGGTGAGGGTATGGTTGCTTGTCCAACGTGGCCCCCAGGCACTACCGTGCCTTTAACTGTCTCCCCCGCACGTGAAATAATCGTCGCCCTCTGCTCATACCCTGGGCTGGCTCTGGCTGGGCTTGGTGGGCTTTGACATAACCTCTTTACGCTAAAGTCAGTTGTGCGTCTCCGAGGCTCCTGCAGCTTACGCTTGTTTTTCCTAGAATCTTCTGTCGCCTCGGAGGATTCGGACATGGTCCGCGATTTAGTGGACAGGTCTAGAGCTTGAGGCTCTGGGTCGAACTTCGTCGCACTTGCCATTGTTTGGCATGCGAGTGAAAGTGATGTCTGAGTTTCAGCTGCCGTTACTTATACTGCCCAGCTTAACGTGACGTAGACTCACTCACAAGGCGGGGAATTTTAAGTGTTCCTCATTCCTACATGACTGACTGACCGCTGGCTACTCAATAAGAAAATTGGTCAGTGGTCAGGACACCTGTTGGTCACGGTGCATTATCTCTCACAGCTTAATGTTTACACCTGAACGTGTGTGCGGTAAGATTCAGGGGGAGCGGGTGTGTGTGGCCGTCGACGTGCTGTGAACACTCCTTTCAGTAAGGTGTCCGAGGTTTAAGTGAGACCGCCTGTCAAAGGCAGCCGTGAAAATAACCTCACTTCACTTGCTGTACGTCCGTGTAACGGGTCACGTGCGACCAGACACACTCTCGTAACGTATGTTCAGCGTGACGACTGACTGACGCTCCAGGTAGAAAGGATACTAGCTCCGCGGCCAGTGATTTATGCTACTACCTGAAGAGAGAGAGAGAGAACGATCTGCATTCCACAGTGCACTCGTCTGCGTTATAAGATGCAGCAAACATCTGGCGCTCAACAAGCCAATTAATAATAACAGATTGTGTTTACAACCACACTGGGCCAGTCACCGGGTCGATAAAACTACAGTCCTCGCTCACTTATATTAGAACCCTTCAAATCGGCCTTCCGAGCCTCTTACACAGAATGAGATGTACATGAAGCCTCCTACACAGACGTATCTTTTCTTTTTGCTTAAACCATAACTCGTTTGATTTCAAGTCGTAAGATATTTACCATTTCAGAGGGATGTTATAAAGTTTCCTTTATAAATTCAATGAGAATGAATTTTGGACATAAATGTGAAATATAAATTCGAAAAATGTCAATGAAACTCACGCTGCTAAACGAACTTTATTGTCTAATGAAAGAAACCATAGTTCACTGCATGAAAGAGAGAAACATTTCTTGGCGTTTAGGATTTTTTTAAAGTATAAAACAGCTCGAAGAACTGCGGAGGAGGGTACTGAAAACGCAGAACAGTCTTTAGGAGTTCCAAGAGCGTCTTGTCAGAGTAAGATATTGTTTGAAGCAAGACGGCTTTAATTAAAGGCACCGGAAGAATATGTTATTCGCGCACAAAAGCAGTTGTGTACCAGCTGGAAAGTAGACACCCTGTCTCAGTTAAGCATGACGAACAACATGAAAAATAACAAAACTGGCTACATAATAATTAATGATATCATTTGTACTCAATATTAGTGACATACAATTTGTCTTTTATCGCTTAATGGGCCTAATGGCATTGGTTTATGTTGGGGAAAACACTGATATCGATTAGTAGGGTTTACGCGTAACAGCCAAAGATGGAATTTTGGATGAAAGATTTCTACATTTATATATTTTTGATAAGAATATTTGTATTGTGAAGCCTTCTATATTTCGAAATGCACGCACCAGGTGTATGTGCAGTGTAAACTGAATACCAACTACATTAATGTATTACTAAGAACCTAATGTGCTTGATCTGGCTGCCGGCTAAATTTTTTTAAAATTCCACTTAAATGTCAATGCATCAGTAAATAGATAGATTATTACAATATATAGTACACATATGTGACAAATATCCCACTAGAGCTGTATATATATATATATATATATACTACCTGTGGAGTATGAGAAGAGCAAATTGTTAATGGAGTAACTGATTTTAACTGGAGGGGGGGGGGGAGAGAGTATAAAAACTAGATTAAATTACTTTACAGTGATTTAGTGATTTATTACAGTGGCGCGATAGGTTAGGGAAAATTTCATTTGCGACCCTGAACCTAGCATGTTCCGTGGTGATAGCAGCGTTTAAGTGCTGTGTCAACAATTTCCCATATTGTACAGGGGTTCCCACCTGGCAAAGGCAAACATCGCACAGCGTGCACGTGTTAACAAGCTCACAACTTTAAAGCAATTCTGTCCCAATTAATCCCTCAATGTGTGCGCCGAGTCAACACCGGCCATTCACACGCACACGCATGTAACTTTACATGATCGATCCCTCCCAGCGTTTCCCAGATTCTACTGCACACAGCGAAAACTAATCTTTTCAATTTCTTTTCTGCCACCTGTGCGGTTTAGATTGAATGAATACAGGTAAAGACGGCTAGGAATCGATATTACTGCGGGTGAATAGGGGACAGGTGGTGAGCTTTCACAGCAGACGACCATTAGATTGAGCGAAAACAATACTTTGGTACCGGAAACTGTGTTACCTTGGCAACCAATACAAGTCTCACCTGTCACTCTATAGTCTGTTGATTCTCTGCGTTAATAAGGGCGTGCACCGTATTGAAAGCATATGAACCGTTATTATTTTTTTTTATCAAAAAAGAACAGCAACAAAGGCAATCCTTCTCGACACGAATATCCTTTTTTCAACCCAGGTGTGTTAACTGAAGTTCAACCCCACCCATCAACCCAAGTGAAGAAAAACGAGCTAACGCCCAACGTCATCATTACATAAAGGGACATTAATTAAAATTTAATAAATTATAGTTAATAACATACGAATGGTTATTTGTACGTAGAAGTTTGAGAACCGAGCACCATATTTTGGCGGCAAATGTGACATTTTCAAAATAAGTATCAGTAAAATTACTATCTGACGGCAGGGTCCGCCAGTAGTCTGTTACTAAATTATTGTATCAGAAAAACTATAATTTCGTTTGCTATTTTAGAGACCCTCTGTGATATCAGACGGTCCAGTAAAATGTAGACACTGCTTTTAGTAGGCAAGTTGTACGCCGGTGCGACTTTCGTTTCTACATCAATTAAACACGCGCACATTACTGATAGGGGGATATTCCTATAAAAGTAAACATTTTTTCCAGTAAAAGCCGACATTTCTTTCAAAAATTGTGACGGTAGTCATTCATAAATGGCAACTGCTGTAAAAAAACGTCAGACAATAGTGTCTACGTTGACAATTGCATCAGCACAACGAGATTTACTTTTCAGTTGTTTTTATTGAACACAGAACAACATCGAGGCAGACGTTATATGCAACTGAAACATATATTTACGTTAATTTTTTCATCTATTTTTCCTTCTTTGACAAAATAGCAACAGCGAGCTCCAGTGTGAAATGTGTTAGGTGTGACAATACAAGTTGAGAAAGAACGTGTTGTCGTTGCGTTATCGTTATAATCACAATTTCTGTTTAAACAATTTCGACCATGATAGCATATCTCAATATCAATAACTGAATAAATAAAAAAAAGTTATGTAATTTTTTTTGATCCATAATGATATAGTGCAATATAGCATGTGCGTTTGGGGTAATATTCATACTGAAATGATGCCAACATTGATCAATGTAAACAAAAGCATAGCAGGACACAAACTCTGAATCTTCCTGTATCCTGGAAGACTACACTCTGTTACAGCACATGACGACACACTGGACATGTCCCAGACTGAAAAGACAAAAAAAAATTCATAATTAGGATAGTGTAAGGAATTACCAAGTGTTGCATTCTAAACATATCAGCACATTATATTCAGGGCATTTTAAGCACGTTTTGGTGCAATGCATAATGTGTTTGAAAAGTGTGCTGCAGAACTACCGGTATAACTGTGGTAGGGTGCATTTTTGTAAGACTAAATGGTTTTGTTTGATATCTGCACAAAAGACAAGTTATACATTTGTGTAAGGTATGCTGGAGTACTTGTCTTATTACAGATGTGTGAGCATGGCTGTGCATGCATGAACATGCATGCGCGTATGTGTACATGCCTGTTGGATGGTATTTTGATTTACCTTGATCAACCAGGCTTGAATACAAAGTGGATGGAAGATATGCAAGCAAGGAAGCTGTGAGGCCTTTTCCCTGCAGTTGTAATTGTTTAAACAAATGGGACACTGGGACTCATTCTCTGTAATGGAAAAAACGCCATATACATAAAGCAGTAAATCTTTAGTTAACAGTAAAATTTAAAAATAATCTTACTTTTTATTAAATTAATTGAAGGAACATGACAACTGAAAATATAACATCCCTATTAGAGAGTTTATTTTTTACAAAGAGACAAACTAAATGTACAATGTCTGATAGAACTATAAAGTGTAAATCAGTCAGTTGCATAGATGAGTTAAATAAATATATATTTTGACGATGGCGTACTAGTCTTTTCAAAAGAGACATCGAGGTTCTTTTTTCTATTCACATAATAAATACAGCATGGTGAATAAATTATCCAGTACTTTTACAGTTGTGTGAGTAACTTTACCTATGAGATCCTGGCTTATATCTACTTGAGGTAGATTATTAATGGCCTGCTGATCTGCTGGAGGTGGTGCTGTGTTATTCATAAGATCTGGGTGAACAGACAACATCTGCAGGATTACATTCTGAAAAAAAATGACAGCTTACATTGAAACTGATCTGACATCTTCGATACAGCTTTTTAGGGCACTGTGGTGGTGCATTTAAAATTTTTCTGGGATCTTAATGACATTTTAAAAGGTCTAGAGAACGCCTTGGCTTGGTCTTACGGACGACACATGTAACTATGACCACACCATGACAACTTAACTCTGATGCCTTCATGATGTCTTCCAAGAGTACTGTGATGCTGGATGAAAATCAGGATGTCTTCTATATGTCTTAATGAAGTTTCTCATATAACTGGAGAACATCCTGATATCAGGCTTGCTTAGTCTTTACATCAAGATGGTCTCCAGATATCTCCAGACACAATCATTTTGTAAAGCCTCTAAGAGGGGCAATAAGAACATCTTCCATGCCAGAAGTGTTCATGACCAAGACCAGTGGTTGACCGGTCAGTATTGTGCAGGATGTCCAACAATGAGTGAGTTGTGTCAGTGTGTGTATTGCATTACCTGGAACATTGCCTCCAGGATATCTCTGCGTACTGTCTGACCAAACAGAAGCCACTCCAAAGGACTAGGCATTTCAACTGGAATTCCAGGATCAAGTGCATCTCTGCAATAAAAAAAACAAAAAACTATCAATACTAAATGCATCTTATAAAAAAAAAACTGAGCTGAAAAAAGAAAGAATGAGTACAGTTATTGAGGGCATTCAAAACAAATGATCTGCAGATCAAATATGGCAGACCCTACACGAAAGAAGAGCAGTCTAATCCATTGATGGTCTCCCTGCCTCCATTAAAAGGATTAAAGCATGGCTCTGAAGTTTAATTGCTAGATCCCTGCAAAGACGGCACATATGAAGGTGGGGAGACCATCGGTGGATTAGTTGGATCTTCTTTCATGTAGGGTCCACCATTTTTGATCTGCGGATCAGTAGATCCCAGGATCATCTGTTGTGAATGTGTGTCTGTCATACAATAATATATCTTTTTTGAAAGTAAGGAGCATAACTTGATTCTAACTTCTATCAGTGTCACAATCAAACAATCCACCTATACTAACATCAACAAAATATTAAGATAATCTGTTTAAACCATGAAAAAAAAGGTTAGACAGTGAGGAAAAGACTGTATTTGAAATGTCTTCACTTAGCTATCTGATACGGGGACTTACTCCAAATCTGTTCCTCTTGCTTCTGCCAAGATATTCCATCTGTATTCATCTTCAGTTTCATCTTCAACTGTCAACCACTGTCTATCTAAAATTCAATAAAACTGGCTTGTGACTGTCTTTACTTTGGAAATGGGTATGTACTCAGTTCTTTTATTTCAATTGTCATGTAACTTTAACATAGTTGTATGCGCAAGTCGGCAATGACAGTGCCATTTTATGATGTGAAATTTACCTCTGTGTGTTCTAGAAAATCTACATGAGGCACAATCACACTCAAACTCATCATCAGCATCATTTTCAGTGCTATCACTGCTGGTGCTGTCCTCTATTGGAGGGTTATACAAACTAGCCGCACTAAATGTTGACTGTTCTAGATCTGTGGAACTCTGAAAAAAACAAAAGACATTGTATGGGATAAAAAGGTAAATTTTTCACCAACAACTGGGAAATAAAACATAAATATATATATAATACTGACAATTTGTCAAAAACCAATCAAATATGCATAGCATAAAATAGGACACATCTACCAGACAATGGCAGTTTATTAGAAATTATATATCAACATAATAAATGACAATACTGTCCAGATCAGTAATTTACAAAAATATAATGCACTGACTTCAATATGTCAGTAAGTTGATGCACTCCTCCCCCCAACATACACAAACCTTTGCCCTTTGATATCCTGTTAATCCCTATACCAGGTTAAGCCATCATCTAAAAAAGGGGGCTATAAAGGAAATTGCATGTGGGGAATGCATCAAGCATCTGCTTCTTGAAAGGAAGTGTTTTTGCCCCTTTTTTTTAAAATCTGATCTGAATGCAGTTTATTTAGTACATTACATGTAGGTATGAAACTTTGAGTGTCTTAGGTATGATACTAACGCTGTCTGAAATGACTAGAGGCGGTGGGGAAATCCTGCCTGACAAGTTGCCATGTTGGTTTAAACTGACATCACTGGAACACTGAGCGTGTGTGGATGTAATGTCGCTTTCATAGCTGTGATCTGTCAACGCTGGCATACTGCAAGCTGAAGAACTACTCACACTTCCAACTTCTGATGAGATATCTATCAATTCTGGGACTAAAAATGGATAAAAATATTGACAATATCAAGACCTTATTCAAAACAGCTATGGGCTTACAACTGAAATATTGAAGAATTTTTTTCTTATTTACAATAAACAACACAAACACACAGAACAGCTCTAAAATATTTAGGTTGGTCAACCATTCCAAAAGCAAATGTATTAATTTTCATATAAAATTATTTTAAAGCTGACACTGTCTTAAGCTGCACCAAAACATAACAATTTGTTAATAGCATAACTGTAGATTGGTATAAAATATCAACTCTAACCTCCTCTCTCACTGGATGCGGACGTTGAACTGTCTGACATTAGGGGAGGCACATCATCAAGGCACCAATCTTGATACAAAGTGTCCACCCAGGGGTTGCTATGAATGTTGCTAGGATAGTTGCCAAGTTGATTGCTAGTTGCATGACTACTGGGGCCAGGCCTCCAATTTGGATTGTTTAGGGAAAATTCCCCATTTCTGGAATGACACTTTGGCATCACCTTGTCTTGGAGATAATTTGTTTTCATTTTACTGCTTGTCTTTTTCACCTTAGAAGAAAGCAAAGCAGCATTTTCATAGTCATTGTGTCTACCATCACTTTCACTGGAACTAACCAAAACATCAGGTCCACAGAGAGAAGACACTTGGTTCAGATCTACAGGTGGCTCTTTGTGCCTTTTGTTAAAAGTTTGGGAAATTCCTTTTTCTAAATGTTTCAGTGGTTTCTTCTTTTTTCTCTGAGTCTTGGAATGTTGTAACGCAGGCTCCTTTTCTACTGGAAAAGTTAGAACTTCTGAACCAGAATGTAAATTAGGAGTAACATTATAACTCCTACTAGCACCTACATTTGGAATAAAAGAACTTTTACAAGGAGCAACATGCTGTTTTGTAGTAGCACCCATTGAACTGGTAACTGGAGCCTCATGAGCAGTTTTTAAAGATGGGGAAAAATGATTTTCATTGTTTTTCTTTTGCACATGTTTTGGCACTCTTGGAAGTTTGTTTTTCTTTGCATGTAGCAGCTTGTGATTCTTTTCTACTAATTTTTCTCTGTCAATATCTGAACTTTCACTGGAGCAATCTAAGTTTCCCACCAAACCATCTACAGATGGAGGAATTTTTAATATGCTACTTTCTGACTTACTGCCTTTTGGCATTGACTTTTTGCTCTTATGCTGTCTTTTAACTGCTGTGCTTGGCCAATTGGCATCTCTATTTTCCTCATCTGAATGCACCAGGCTGTCTGATGTCCTACCCTCACTTGAACCTTGACTTGTTTTGGCCCGCACTAAAGCGAGAGCATTTTTTACTGTAAACTGCCCATTTTTGCCATCTGGTGGTGATTCCCTAGTCCTTTCCCTAACTTTCTGTAAAACTTTGGCTGCAGTAGCATTTTTCAAAACAGGGAATCTGGCCATAGCACCATTAACTGAAGACTTTTCCTCAATCTTTCTTGGCTCAGAAGCTAGACTATCTTGTAGCATCAAATTCATGGGGTCTTCCTCCTTTTCTCTATCATCCAAACTGTTTTTACTGTTTGACATTTTCATCCCGACTTGATTTAAAACATCTTTAAGAACAGCTCCAGCCTCACGCCATTTCTTAAGTTTGGTCCTTTCATCAGTTGTGTCAGACTCTTCATCCTCATTAATACTAGGAGCTTTTTGAAAATCCCCATTAAAATGGGTTAGATGAGGCAGTGAGACATTATTGTCTTCTGTCACATTCTGTGGCAGTTTTGGCCTAGCACCCCTATGGACGTATTCTAGGTGTGCTTGGGAATACTCCTTTGCATTAGGTGGAAGACATCCATCACATTCCTGACCTGATAAAGGCAAGGTATTGGGCATGTCTTCATCAAAGGTATTTTCATTCAGTTGTGTCATTCTCTTTGGACCTTGTAAACTCTGTGCGAGGTGTGGCATAGAATTTGCCTCGCCTCCATTCAATGTTTGAAAGTGTTTGACAAGCGCTTTGTTGGACCTGTTTTTGGAACTGCATGAGGCATCCTTAACACAATTTTCATCTGATGCAGTTACTGTTACTGGGTCACTTTCCTCTGATGTCACTGGGACTGTGTCACTTTCTTCTGGTGTTAATGTGAGTGGGTCACTTTCATCCGATGTAGCTTTTTCAGCATTGGCACTTGAGGTGGTTCCCATGATGCAACTGGACAAGTATGTCCTTATCTAAAATGTAAAACAATAAATCATACATCAAACAAAATACTACTAGATCAGTAAGCATCTGTCATAAACAATGCATCTTTAAAAACTAAAGGTATACTGCAGTCATGACAATGTCTAATTTATGTTTCCCTTGGTTGCAAAGTTTCTTTTAT